AAGTAAACTCTGCTTTTCTTGCTTCTGTACGAAGCGGGAGCGCTACAAAATCTCCGCTGACAAAATCTCCGGCGACACAATCTCCACGACAAAATCTCCGGCAACACAATCTCCGCGACTAAATCTCCGGGACATAATCTCCACCGAATTTGATTTCATATTTTTCTACTTATTAGACTTGTTAATAAAAGTATAAAGGTACTTCTGTACACATAATATCTATCCTTATTTGTTTTGCTTCCTTTTACTCGGGCTTTTGGTCTGTGTATAAGTGTGGTTGGGATGCATGATAGTGTGTTTTTTCGTGCGTGTTTTTTCCCGGGAGATTTTGTCCCGGAGATTTCGTTTTGCGGAGATTTTGTCCCCGGAGATATTGTCGTGGAGATTTTTTCGGGCGGAGATCTTGTCGGTAACCCGTACCAAGCAGTGTATATTGCGATGTGCAACTACAGCGCCTCTGAATTCGGCCTGCAGCGAGTAGAGGTCAAAAATATTTTGTATACGGGACCTACCCATCCTTACCACGTCTCATGAGAAAGGTTCAGGCCTATCACCGAGTTGAGCCCAATGCTGGTGAGCCTGTCACTCGTGATGTCCTCTCATGAACCCCTCCACGTCAGAGTCTTCTCCGAGTTGGTTAATGTGTATTAAATTCTTCGTGCAAATCTTTGCGAGAGATCCTGGTTTGACATAAGAATTGCATGTAATATCCTTTAATAAGGTACAGCAATTTGCTTTGTATTTCGGATTTCCAAATTTATAGCATCGATTATTGGAATCTGCATAATTTTTCTTCGTAGTTGAATACTGATTATATTACATTTTGTTTCTTTCCTTTTGTCCATACATCAAATTTATGGAGTTATGAATGTTATCATGTTTTAAATGAAGGATTTTTTTCTTATAATTTGAAAGAGCCCAGGCCTCTTGCCTGCTGAATTTGAGAGTATCGTCTAAGGCGCGGGTTCGATCCCCATCACAGAGAACTGTCTTTTGTGACTTTTTCGCCTGGTGCAAAACACACACACACACACACACACACACACACACACACACACACACATACATACAGGACAGCCTCCGTTGGTCTAGTGGGTAGAGGCGTTGGGCCACCTATCTGCTAAACCAACGCTGTGCTGAGGGAGCGGGTTCGATCCCCACTGAGGGAAATTTCATTCGTGATTTTTCGCTCGGTGAGGTCGAGCCCGAGCCCGAAGTGGTTCGGATTCCACCATAAACTGTAGGTCCACGGCTGTAGGCAGCCTCCTGGAGGGTGGTGAAATATCCTCCAATCGCCCTGTGGCCCAAGTTGAAAAGAATTCCCGCAAGATGGAGCCCGAAAGCCAGAACTCCTAGTGCTGATGTTGGACAACGGAGTGCATCATTCAGGAGGAAAAGCGCCAACACAAGGAAGAGCACCGACCCCTCGGCTCCAACATCGTATCCCGGGCGATGGAGCCCGATATCAGAACTTCTAGTGCTGGCGCTGACCGACGGAGTTTCCACTCATCATGGAGGAAAGCCAGAAAAAGCGAGAGGTGCTCGCAAAGAGGCGGAAAAGCGGGACGGTGTCGTGGTGAGACCCGGACCTCTATCACAAGGACGGCTACTAGTCTAGCTTCCGGCGAGTTCTGACGAACGTACCAGGAGGAAAAAACATCAGCACAAGGGAGAGCACCGACAAAGACGGCTCCGGAAGGCGGGAATGACGCTGGATGAGGGCTCCGCGGGGCGAGCGGGGGATCACCAACGAGTTGACACGGTTCCTGAACCCCTGATCACCGCACCCTGGCGTGCGGTGGATGGGGGATGTAGGGAAATGACCAAATACATCGATGCAGCAGCACTGCTAAAGGGCACCCACCGAAGTAATATCTAACGATGGTTCCGGTGGGAATCATGCCAGAGTTCGGAAGGGCCACTGGTGCAAGGGTTTACTCTGCCCACGTCCTCTCCATAAAAAAAAAAAACACATACATACAGACATGTTTCAGCAATTCGGTCTAGTTTAAGAATATATATGTAAAAATACTCTACGATTATTAGTTATGAAAGTCAAAAATCGGTCCGTCACAAAGTTTCCTCTATGAGGAAGCAAAAGGACCATCTGCCAGTATTCTGAAAATCTAATAAAACTGTTTTAAGGACTCAGCAAAATTTTAACAAGTGATTGAATCTATCATTTATTCCAGAAGTCAAGACCTAATCGGCAATAGAAAATTTATCTTTTAATGTTTTATATTTGTTAGATTATTGCAAGAGTCATGCTGTTTATCTTGACACTGACATGACGCTGTTTATTTTGCCCACCCGAACGAAGATTTATTTCGATCTCCAAATACGACGTCCCTTATTCAGCCGATGTATCAGTAGGTGATTGCAATTTTAAAGTCATATTATCTAGAAAAAGTCTCTTTTCCATAAGAAGTTGGTCTTCGTATACGCAGTTTCTTTGTATACGGTACTTTTTTTTAACTGAACCCCCGCGTATAAGGAGGGATGACTGTTCATCAGGGTGTCCGTTATTTTCCAACTTTTTTATATTGCTTCTCCCCTCCATCTAGATGTCTTCTATATAATTTGAAAATGAGAAAGCTGGTAAATAAAGTTTGAGGAAATAATTTTAAGGTTACCCCAAGCAGCTTAAAGCTTGCATGTTGTTTCTTAAAATCACTTTGATTTTCACATGAGAACTTGTACTGGAGCAGCGAGTAGGATTGAGAAATAAAGAGACACTTTGTTTATTATATATGAAAGTAAAATATAATATATTGATAGTAAGTAAAATAGGTATAGGTAATTAACATACGAAGTGATGTGCGCTCTGCGCAGTGTCTAGCAAAAATCAGCGTGTTCGCGTGCGAGCACTCGTCGGCGGGCTACGCAGCCCCACTCCTGTGCGGTGATAAGGAGATGTACAGTTTGCATCCATATACACACATGTAAATCAGAAGGATCGCACTTACATGTACATAGATTTTTTAACACATGTATTTTAAATCGGCAAAACTTAAAAATTTGATTCTTAGCGTTAATAATGATGAGAAAATTTGATAAAATTTACAAATCCATGTATCTTATGCATTTTTGACAGTAAATCGATTGGTGACCTTCAATTTGACCTTAAACATAACCTTCAAGCTACAGCGAATAAAATATTGTGAAAAATCGTTTTTTTCATTATTACCCTCATTTTTTATTGCGGACTCGAAAAGGGTGAACGAATTGAAGTCTGAATATGTCTTTTGTTTTTTTTTCAAGGACATTTTAAAGGCGCTACAGAAACAAATGAAACCCTATTTTTCAATTCTTTTCTTAATAAAAGTTTTATCTATACCTGCAGCGCCTTTAAAACACCGTTGAAAGAAAAAACAAAAGACGTATTCGGATTTGAAATTTCAGCTCTTTTCGAATTTGCAATAAAAAATGGAAGTCACTGTAAAAAAAAATAATTTTTGGTTCACTGTAGCTAAATTTTACTTCCGGTTCTCGATTGGAGTAAAGGGATGAATGAATCCACACTACTCGACGTTATGTTATACACTCTATATTTGGCAGAGGCCTATTATTAATGAGTTTAATAAGAATAAGATACAGATAAAGGATTAAAATATAAGGATGTAAACGATGCACTATCTCTTGCCCTCTGCCGCCAATTTCGCCGTCCTTCTTCGCCGCCCATAGTGTCCCTTTCAATCCTGGAAGCTCGGGTGCACCGCATTCAAATCGGATTATTCCAAACGATGAAAGTTTATGTTCAAGGTCAAATTCAAGATCAGCAATCGACTCACCGTCAAAAAATACATAATATACATAGGTTTGTGCATTTTTTAAAAATTTTTTATCGTTTTTATCACTAAAAATCAAATTTCTAAGTTTTACCTGTTCAAAATGCATGTAAGCTTCAAGCCGCTTGGAGGCCAGCTTTAAAATCATTTTTTCGAACTTTATAAACCGGGTTTCTCATTTTCTGATCATATAGAAGACATCTAGGAGCCGGGAGCAGCAATACAAAATGGTCGAGAAATGACGGATACCCTACTGAACGTAGAATTGACGTTTCATATGGTCCATCTGTTATTAGGTTATTTTGTATCACCAACTTTTATAATGCAAATGGTTTTTTAAAGCGTTTTTTTCTTCAAATAAACTGTAAGTGGATGTATTAAACTCTGCTACTTATTGTTTTTCAAGACCAGGTGTAAAAAAAAGTTACCAACAAACACGAGGAAATATACAATTTAATTATTCTTGTTTATTCTAATGTAATAATTTGTCGTTTATTCTTTTTATGACCCATTAGTGATTTCTGTAGGGATATGAAAATCTATTTGGAAATTAATGTTGTTCAGTGCCACATATCATAAATCAACTTCAAGTAGGAACTGACGTAGTTTCCCAAATAAGAGTGTGTCCAGGAAACTCATATAGAAATTTATATGGGAACCAAATGGCTTTCTTGATAGTTACACATGTAGGTGACTTTGAACATTTTTTCGATTTTCAGGATCATTCAAACAGTTATAAACCTTTGTCGGCTGAAAGCCCGAAAGACATTGTCATTTCTCAGGGTCACTCATCCATTTTAGAAATGCTAGTTTCTGTCAACTATGACTGACTAAAAGTTTAAATTGATCACAGCTCTCAGCAAAAATAAAATAGTCTTGCTGAAGGCCAGCCAAAGCAATAACTCACAATATTATATGTAATCTTACTTTCTCTTGTTACATGGTATATAGCTCCAGCTACTATAGCTCATTAACTTATTCTATGTATTATACTATAGCGCATTTTTCATTGCTCAAATCTTCATATCATTTTATACGCTTTTTACAACAGCTCTTTCGTTTCTCTTTCCTACATGTTAATGCATTCGTTGGCGATGATCCGCTGTGATGAATTCTAGTTCAGTTGTAACAATTTTCATTGTAGCTGTTACAATACCCATTAAGTAATCATCAGTAATTCAAGAAATTATTATACCTTATTTGTTTTTTCAGACATCCAGGAGAAATAACATTTTACAGTAATATAGACAGTATGCCGGATATTCGACCTCGACGAAAGTCTGTTCCATTAGTCTCAGAATTGGTAAGTTATGGCTTCTTTCTATAATCAAAGTACTCTGATATGGATTTCCGTTCAACCAATGAAGCACTATATTTTAATCGTACTAAAATTACATATGTCCTTACTTTTTTTCGACATTGCTCAACATTTTTTTGATCTAATTGACCAATAGCGTAGTTACAGACAGTTCGAGTCGAGGCAGTGTTTCTAACTTTGCGCGTGCAACTTTAGTGTTTACCATCATCGGCCTTTAAGAACGATTCGGAATCACTATGTAGACAACTACAGTCTAAGCTTTCTGCTGCGCACACGAAAAGCTGTACATAGTGCAAGAGTCTTTCTCACTCCCAATAAATCATATTACAATTTGTAACTTTCAGCTTTGTTCTGAAATGACTGTATTGCTTCTAATTGTTTAAACAATAAATTGATTAATGATTAAAATTTAATTATAAATTTAGTTGCATTTTAATGATCATATTGATAATATCTTTAAGAATAATTCCTCCAATGTTTGGGTGTTTGATAAAGTAAATTTAAATTAATTCGATAACTTTTAGAGTTTAAGATTCGTTATTAAATTTTAATTATTAATAAACTTATTGTTTAAATAATTAAAGGCGTCACAGATTAGATCTGATATCAGATCTGATGTAAGTTCTGATGTCAATTATCGTATGCAAATTCTGATATAAGATCTGGCATAAGATCTGATGTGCATTCACCAGAACTTATAAAAGATATGATATACTAATTTAACCTGGGATCTTGCAGTGCACAAAAAGTGCAGCGCTTAGTAATCTTTAACCAAAACTGTGTTGATGTCAACTTTCCAGTTCAACGACCGAATGAGAATGACACTGTGGCATTTTTATTTTATCGATTAGTCACTTGCAGTCCTATTGCGAACAGTTACAATCAATAATATTTGTACTTTTTTTAATCGTGCACACACGCTAAAAAGTAAAATGCCAGTGGATTCTACGACCCAAACCCTATTTTTCTACAAAAAGTCGGTCAGTTGGGGATAGGTCTATTCGATTACATAGGATTATACAGAAAATCTTTGCATTTGTAAACATTTTTTTACAAATTTTTTTTTAAGTCATTACGGAGTCTTGTATACTCAAAAGACCTTATCGAAAATTTGATTTGATTTGAACAGTTTATTTATCAAGGTTAAAAGACCGAATGGCAATCAGCAATAAATTACAATAAGTACAGGTAACAAAAAATTAAGCAAATATTGAGCCAAATGATACAAAAAGTAAGCAACAATTAGGCGAGAATAGCAAATTTCAAATTATATCATACAAATAAAAGTAGTGTAATTAAAACTTGAGTACTAAAAATATTTACAAGCATATAGATATGTATAATTAAAAGCAGTAAGTATGAAAATTTATTAGTGAGCGCAATAAATATAAAGCAATTAGTGAAAAGTCTGGTGCTGCCTCAAATAATGTCCAAGCAACGTCTTAAACGAAACCAGGGAACCCAACGACCGTAGTTGAACAGGAAGCGCATTCGTTGAGTACTCAATTGTCGGTGCTATACCCGCGATTCTCGCTGATCTACGGACTCCATCACCCGTCCAGCGATAGAAGTCCAAGATGTATGCAGGGCATAGTCCGTTCAGCGCTTTAAACGATTGGATGTTTTGGAAATATTCATGTCTCTGTGATGGAGACAGCCAATCGAGCCTGGTGTAGTAAGGCCGTAGCGCAGTGTCTCTTGGTAGCTTATGCAAACTTTTAGTAGGCGCCTAAGCTTGATGTGCGATGAAGTAGAGATGTCAATGAAGGCGAGGCAAGCGTAATCAAATTGAAGTATGATGAAAGCGTTGACAAGCATCTTTTTTATGTTAACGAGCAAAAAACCAGCTCCGGCTAGCATACGATGAAGCACTCCATGAATGCGAGAGGAAATGCCTCTAACATGCGCGTCCCACGATGGGAGTCATAACCAGGCCCAAGTTGACAACTCTATCTTCGAAAGGGATGACAGTGCCACTCAGGTGAGTTCTTCAAATGATGTCCAAGTCCATGGGCGTGAGGAGCTGGTTTGAAGCAAAAAGGACCGCCTTCGTTTTGGCAACACTGAGGCTAAATCTACTGGTGTGCGCCCAGTCAGAAACGATCTGAGCATCTTCGTTGAGTCTCGCTACGGTTTTGTCAAGCTCAGTCACAGGGCACTGCAAGTAGATCATCAGATTGTCTGCAAAGAGCATATGCGTAGACACGTGCCGTGGCGAAGCGCATTTGTGAGTGTATCAATGTATACTGCAAACAGTATGGGAGCGGGCGTTAAGCCCTGTGGGACACCAGATGTATAATTTCTGAAGTCCATCAGACCACTAGCATCATCCATCACAGCCTGCGAGCGATTCGACAGATAGGAGTGCAGTAAGGCGAGAGCATTAGATGAAAAATTCAGGGATTTTAAGGTTCGCAGCAAGGTCGCATGATCCAGAGTATCAAAAGCGCTTCGGAAATCGGAGAGCAAGAGTATGGGTGACTAGCATATTGTACGTCTCAAGATGCGTAGTTGTCTGAGCCATCAGCAACTTGTCAAAAACCTTTGCGAGATGCGTCAGGTTAGTGATCGGCCAAGTCTGAGACGGTGATTGGAGCTTGCGCACCTTTCTTAGAGGCCCGATAACGGATTTTTTTTGCATAGTGATGGGTATTGACAGGTTGAGATTGACAAGTTGAAGACAGCGGTAAGAGCCAGCGTGAGAAGAAAGAGAGTGTCGTAGAAATACGACCATGGCGTACCATCACTATAGCACGCACTCACACCACCATGGACTGGCTCTGGGATCGCTCTCGGCTGGGGGACGCAGGGAGGTCATCAACTGCTCTCTAGCATCTCGCATCATCAGAGATGCTTCGCCGGGCTAAGGGGAGCTTTCGAGTCATCGGAGTACCCACTGAGATTGAGGAAATCAGGCAGTCCACGCGACGCCGACCCCCGGTGCTCTTCTGCAAGGCACCCCGCACCGCATCATTAGATCACTCATTTGCATTTTCATCTGCCATAGCAATCAATAAACTCTCTTTCATCACGAACAGCCTCTCCCTGCCTCCTCTCTTCAAGTCCCTTCACACCTCCTTTCTTATGCAGCACGAGAAGGTGGAGTGGTTGCAGCGATGCAGGACGGAGGGCCTTGCTCCTGTCCCGTCTGAACTGACTCGAGTGTTGAAATTGAATGTAAACTTGGCATAGCCAAAATTGCGTAGTGGAACATCGACATATATCTGTTAAATGTACCGTACCCTCTGTACTTACAACTGTTCTGTAATCACTATTATTACTACTTGTACTTCTACTGTGTGTTTGAACTGCCGTTGGGCCTCATGTGGTTATACCTCAAGGCCCCAATAAATCTTCTAAGCAATGAATTAATCAATTAATAAATTGCACTCGCGTATGACTGTGTTTACGCATACGCACGAGGCAACGTAACAGCATAAGCAACATCAGTCGGCTTAGTTCACGGGATTGACTGCGTTGAGATATCTTTCTCTCTCTTGCTTATGCGTATACGATAATACATAGAAAACGTATGTGCTATCTATGAATATATGTCGCGAGACTACGCACTATCATGCACGTTGTCAAATCTGATATTGATTAATGCATGTATGTATTGCAAAGTAACTACCTTTTTTTAACGTCCGCTGATAAGGCAGCGAACACCTAGACGCGTTCATCACGCAGGTACTTGCGCAAGCGTCTGAGCGGGCATTGGCCGGGACGAAGAGAATCCCCACCTTAACTCGCGCCCCACCTGTTTCCTTCGCGACCGTATGCTGGGCCAGCGAGAAAAAGAGACAGAAATAGGATTTTTGCCCCGTTTTTCGCCCCGAACAAAGAAACGCGAGGATGCGGGGTCAGCGCTGCATTGAGCGCGGATCGAGCGGTTGGAGAGGGCAGTCGCCCACGGGTATAAAAGGCGCGTGCTCTGAGGAGTAAACTCTCAAAAAATTTTCACCAGAAACCAAAACAAGTAATCGATGTCAGTATCTTAGCCGATGCGGCAAGATTTTAGCCACTCCGGCATAAGTTAGTTTATAATTATCCGAGGGCCTATAATTGCATCCGTAGACCTGAGCAAGCCTTCGTGGTTGCAGAAGGTTGATTGAATTGAATTGAGAACACTCTTCAACTCAACGGAAGTCAATGGTCGTGCCGTCGAGCTGAACTACAAAACCTGAGCAAGCCTGAGAGCAGCGGAAGGTTAAGTAGAAGGAAAAGTCGAGTTTATTCCTTTTCCGTTTAGCCTCGACGAGAGATAACGCTGCGACGGAAAATCACCTGATTAAAACCATCGCATGTGATCTAAGTGCAACCAGTCATGGGTTTCCTTCTGTGTAGAGAACCAGGACATCGAGAATATTCCTACATTTGAAGCAGTGCGTCGATAAGCCCAAGAGAAAGAGAGCTACGTTGTGTCAGACACGGAGCATCGACGACAAATGCAAGTTTTCATTCTTTTTGTCTCCATTTCAAACTAACATAATTAGCGTGTACGCAGCCCTCTCAAAATACGTGCGCGTTCATTATCAACATCGTGAAATCCGATAAAATCTACACGCATAGATTTTAACCTCGAGGAGCAGAAACATTGTCCAGGTCATCGCGGACATACGCGTAAAAGAACGCGAAATATACGCGTGGAGAGAACCCCACGCATAGATTGGGCATCGGTTAAGTACGTGCAGCTCGCAGGTAAACAACGGGCCACACGAGACCTCTCCCCCACCGTACGCGGCCGTACCGCGTAACTGCGCAGTTACGATAGCAGTAGCGACACAGTGGTATATGGGCGAATCCGCGAAACTCGCGTCGTCGCATCACCCTCCCTCAATTTCTTCGCAGGTTTTTCTTCGGCTTAGCAGACAATAGTGAAGCGATTCCTCGCTACTATTTCACTATAGCAGACAAAGCAGGGATAAGCAGCCGCGAGCTAGAGAGCAGAAACAAACACAAATATTGTTTCATACCTTTACGATTAG